CATTTTCAAGATTCCTTGCAATACCGTAATCATCGCTTTTTATCGTCACCGTAATAGAGTTAAAACTAGAGTATTCTCAAATAGACAACATTTTTATAAACAAAATATAAAAGGTTGACCTTAAAACGAATACAAAACTATGAATAGTTTATTCATTATGAATGCACTGTGATAACTAAGGATTGAACAGAAACAGCTTTCCGTACTTGCAAGCCGAGTCATTCAGAATCTATGAAATGCAGCAAACCCAGTGCTATGACTCTTCAGACAACAAATAAAACACAACATCATTTACATATATGAAGTACATAAGCCGTCGGCATCCTAAAGTGCTATTGCTGTTGATTTTTTGCGACTAAAATACACACGAGGTTACTGAAATAGAAAGAAAATATGTTTGATGCCATCTTTTCTTAATGTTTGAAAACGCAATTTTAATTATTTTAATGCATAGCACTTATAATGTTTATATTTATTTTGGTAGAAGTCATTCTGTATATTTATTAATGATTAAATAAATATATAGTTATGTAAAATGTATTGCGCTCCGTAGTAAAGACATTGGAATAAGTTCATGTAGAAAAATCTTTGGTAAATATATTCAAGGCGCCTTCACAAGATAACTGGTGACCCCAGGGCTTGTTAAAATTTTGTTCAACACAAAAGTATAACAATTCAAAGAGACACCGTACCTCGCGGAGACGCGTTTGATCATATTTATTATTGGTAATTTTGTTATATTGTTCACTTAATATTCACTTTCTTATTAAAGAATAAACTGCTATGTAAGCAACATAAGTACGAGTTTTAACATAGAGAATATTAAAATTTAATACTAGATTAGGTAAGCTCAGTCAAACAATTACTGTAAGCCGCTCACTATACAGCGTAAAATGTTTTTAAAACGATTAGACGATGCTTAAAAATATGAAGTCAGTTAATGTTGGAAGCACAACACGACACTCAGTGTTTACGATCCTTTTGTTCTCAAACTAAAAGGGTTAACTTTAAACATCGCACTTAACCCGACGAGTCGCTACGTGCCAGTAATGGGTAACTGTGTATTCCTTCCGCGAAGGGGTTGACATATTGTTGCTGACTAACCCTAATACTCAGATAGTAAAGTCGACGTGTTTTCATTAACAATGCTCTCCTTAACTGCACTTGAAAATTAGGATAATGTTATTTAATGTTTTTAAGCGTTTGACATTTTGTTGATTAATTTTATATGTTGTACTAGCAGAACCTGCGGCTTCGCTCGCGCAAAAACTACAGAAAAACTAAAAAAGTAAGTTTCATACAAACTTTCATACCCTGTTTTACCGTCTTATATGATGAATTTCGAAAAATACTAAAACACGTATTTATTTAATTGTATTGAAGAGCATTTATACCAAGTTTCAAGTAATAATAATAATAATATAACATCACTTTGTGTCTCTATATATAGTTTCAGATTTGTTTCTAGACGTTAATTTTTTCTTAGTTTAAACTTAGTTATAACGTAAAATAAATTAATGAGCAAGCTGTGGTCTCCTATAAGTGAAGGAGCACACGTATTGTGAGTCTTATTTGCTTTTTGTTTTTATATAATGTTGTATATTGTGTGTATCTTTTGTTGGAGATCCTAATTAAAATAAAATAAAATAAAATACTAATCACAAGTAATATTTGGGTTGCATTATAACGTGTTTTCCCGTTGGAATAAGATTATCTCCCGGGATAAAAAGTAGCCTATGTCAGTCTCCATCCCTCCAACTCTCTCCACACAAAAAATACATTAATCCGTCACTCCGTTTCGATGTGAAAGAAAGACAGACAAACGAACAATCAAACACACTTTCACATTTATAATATTAGTATGGATTATTATTTTTATTTGTAATTGTTTTACAAAACAAAGAATTCACTTTACATTAATTATTTTTATCGAAGCTATTCTTTTGTTTATTTAACTGTTAAAACCTAGAAATAGTAATGAGAAATATGGTCAAAGTAAGAAATATATACCTACATATGTCTGTAAATAGTAGGTACATTTCCTAGTAGCAAAGTTTCGTATTTACAGTTTTGGGTTTTAAATTACCCGATACAAACAGACAGATATTTGTTTAAGAACTGTTTGCCTTTTATTATTTTATAAGTATACTAGCGGACCCGACAGACGTTGTCCTGTCTACACGTCTTTAATTTGAAAATTTCAAACTTTTTTTAATAATTTTTTGATGAAAATTATTATTCAAATTGTGAATCTAAACCATTCCCAGATCCCCTTGAACACACACAAAAAATTTCATCAAAATCGGTCCAGTCGTTTAGGAGGAGTTCAGTCACATACACACGCACACAAGAAATATATATATTAAGATAGATTACACTGATATTACTTAAAGTATCTACATTTATACAAACAGGATACTTAAAACCTTAAAAGTTAATTATACAACAGGGTATTAGCAAGTTCTTGACTTAAACGAAATGAGGACTTAGCGTTTGAAGTGAAACAGTCTATCGCTTTGTACAAAGAGGATTTAACACCCATTTAATTTCACGCTTTGTGAGATTTAATCTAAAACTAATCATACCTAACGGCTATCACAGGAACAGGTATAGATGAAACGGAAATTAGATTATTTTTTATTGTTTTAGTAGAAGTATTATCATTATTTTAATTTTATTATTTCGGCTGACATATACTTTTTGTTTTAGAATTATTTTTTGTATTTTGTGTATCAATAAAGAACAACTTTATTTCTACTTTAGTAGCTTATTCTATTTAATTGGGAGAAAATGATCAAAATGTGATAATTAAAATATTTCGAATAAAATATATTTATAAATGAATAAAAATTCAAAAATATTTATGACGGTATTATATATATATATATATATATATATATATATATATATATATATATATATATATATATCGTTACAAGTATTATAAAACAACGTTCGTTCAAGACAGGAAAGACGACAAGAAAACAAGTAATGCTAAAGAAAATGGAATTGAAAGCTCCAAAGAACATTTCTAATTAGTAAGAAAGCTCGAGGTTTAAAAGGTTCAAAAATCAGCTGGTAACAAAGAAAAGTTACGGAAAACATCAACAGCTAAGCTCGAAAATAAATAAATGAAGGGAAATGGAAAGTGCAGGGTAAAGTCTATCAGTTTTCAATTATTTTGGGTTTTCTCTATGGGATAATTGTGTTATTTATATACGCAGCGAGCGTTTATTTACCTGAGTCATGTTGCGGCCACGAGCGAACTACCCACATGTCGATATTGACACGGGTTCGGGAAAATTCACTATTTATAGCCCCATGAACATGCCAGCCAGCAAACAAAGTGCAATGAACCCCTTGCATTGGAAACGTTATGTTAGGCAATGAAATGTAAACAAAGGTATGAAAAAAGAACGAAAAATATCACTTATTATTAAGGAGATAAAATAATTTTATTAGATACAAGCTACAAACTGGGTTTAAATAAGATTTTCGTGAAAAACTATGCTAAAGTGAACGTCTCCAATAACTTCCAGTATTTTAACAAACAAATATTTTTGTATTTTCAATAGCCTGAGTACTTTGAAACAAATCTTAATATTATTTCTAAATATTTACAATAACAGTTGAAGTAAATAGTAATTTATCAATGCCACCTCAGTATGTAATTTGCGTAGGCTCCACAGAACCATTGAATATTAAAGTTCATTTACCACCGAGCATTTGTACATACATACATTACGTTTACCATATAATTAAAATTCACATTACGTAGGAGGCAATTATTAATGTACATCAGCGAACTCCACGAAGTACGGTTAAAGGCTTATTTTGATAACTAAAGCGAAATCTGCTCAGTACTTTAGGCATGGAAATTAAAAATGCTTCACTGTTCGTTGAAAATGTAAATAATTATATGGTTGTATTTTTTGCTAGACTGTTGTTGTCCGACTGTTCATTACACAATTATATTACTAACTTTCTCGTCCGACTGTTCATGATACAATAGATATTATAAACAGTATCGGTTTTTAAATTAACTTTAAATATAGCTTAAAACTGGATAACAATAATATCATATTATGTAATACATAAAATTTTAGAATTGGTATTGACATAAAATGTTAAGTTTAAAATGAAAGCATTCAAAGTATTTTTACCTATCATACAATTATTAAGCCTGTGTATTATATCATAGCACAGATCATATAATACTATACTAGATCATAGGTATTTTAGCACGGGTATTATAAAAATTCAACATTTAGATTCTTAGCAGTATTTGAAACTGCACATTTTTCGAATTATATTAATTTTATCTTGAGATGGAAATGAAATGACCATTCTTGGGAAAAATACTGCAAACAATTACCGCGTGAGCAGAGAAATATGGTATATAATAATTATAAATCAGCGCTTACTTTATTTAAAATGTAATATTTGTTTTGAAAATTTCTTGTTTTATGAGGATAGGTTAATAGCTAATTAAATGGTAGAAATACGTGTGTTCAATCGTACTTGTCTTTTGGATTTATATAACTCCCACTCTTGCTTTCCTTAAACTTAATTATAAAATATCACTCTTTATGTTATATAAATATAATATACTAGAATATATAACACATCTTTACGTCTCTAGCAGTATCGATATAGGGCTTTCATTTCCCTATTCAAGTTTTATTTTCGCAACAAAAAGTAGCCTGCATCCTTCTCCAAGGATCATCTATCTCTATATCAAAATTCATTAAAATTGATTCAGCTGTTTAGGCGTAAAACGTAACCGACAGACACAGTTACTTTCACATTTATAATATTATAAGTACCAATTACTGGTTTGAGAACATGCATTTATAAATTTCATTATCAAGATACCATGATATAGTTAATGTCTTTATTTAAGTCTTTTTGAATGTTTTAATGAATTTCTTTCAATAGATACATATTTCTCTTTCTCAATTAATAAGTAAAGAGTGAAAATAAAATAAACAATCTTTTTATAAATTTAATAATGAATCTAAAGAATATCCCCTTTCAAAAAAATCATTTACTACGCCATTTACCCTCTCCACGTATAACAAATGATTTTCTGTTTCATATTGGAGCGAATCTTCTGACTTTTGATATTTCATTTCGGTCATTTTCAAAGCCTCTTCTGATTGAGCTGTAATAATTTTCATTGATATCAATGCTTCTAGAAGCCCCAATACTGAATATTCTCTTAAATGCTTCTCCAAAATATTCCTGGGGTAGATATTAGCCACATCTAAATTACACTGACGTAGCACTGCAGATAAGGTTCCGTAATAAATATTCACAAGCTGCTGGTAGTATTTGGAAAGAAATTCTTGGTCTGTAGACATGTATACGTAGTACGATAAGTCGGTCACTGGTGAAGCGTAACGCACCAGTTGGAAATCTACAAATAGTACGTCCACTGGTATTTTTCCCTGTAATGAAAAACACTTTAACTAAAGAGAATGTCTGAGATGAAAGTCTAAGGTGGTTTAACTAGAATACATTATTATGAAAAAAATTACCTAGCCAAGTTTTACTATTTTGTAATAATTATATCAATACAAGAGATTGAGATTACATATTTCAATGAAGCTTTCACTAATTTACTGCTAAAAAAATAACCGTTGTCTGTTCTCTGAGAGACAATGAAAGTATTTACGACAAACTATTCTCTTAGGTACATTCAAATGTCAGTCTACAACGGACTATAAGGCACGACTACTAGCAGAACCCGCGGCTTCGCCTGCGTTCAATCTTAAAAAAACATAAACACTGAATATATTTATTATTTCTACCAAATAAACATACAAAAAAATAACATTAAAATCGCTAATTTTTAGCCAATCTATACAGATAAATAAAATTGAAGCGTCTGTTTGTAATGTCAAAATAACCGCGCTTTACTAAATGCATATAAAATTATATACGGTACTTATAAGAAAAACACATTTTTTTTTATTTTTGTCTGTCTGTCTGATTGTTTCGGATAATCTCTGAAATGGCTGGACTGATTTTGGGAGATAGCTGATGTTTTATGGAGTAACAAAGGATACTTTTATTATAGAAAAAAATATGGGGTTCCGTTCAAAAATATTAAAACATACCTAGGGACGAACCCGAGCGAAGCGAGGGTGAGTCGCTAGTTTACTATATTTATTTACAGGTACAAATTATAAAACTTTAAAAATATTTAATATTTAAACTACTAATCTTTACCTGATATTTAAACAAAATATTATTATTCCAACAATCGCCATGACAAATGGTGCTGTAATTTGGAACCGGTGCAGAGCATTTACTTAATAGCGTCGATATATTAGGTAATATGGTTTCTAGCTTTGCCTTAGCCTCTGAATTAGATACTACGTTCAAAGATTGTTTAAAATAATAAATTAATGATTTGGATACATTTTTTATGTCAGAATACTGAACATCTTTGCTGCAATGATTTTGTATAGTTTTAAATTCTTCTGGATGTATATTTTCTAATGCAAATGACAGGCCGTGTAACTTCGCCAAGTTCTTCACAACTAATGACGATTTCACAAAATCTGTTTTGTTAAATCTACTTGTTAGTTTGTATTCCATAATCATGTTTACAACAATAGTTTCTTTATCGTCCTCCATACTTGCAAGAATACAGTTCGGAAATTTCATTCTGAGTCCTTCGATTACATTATACTTTCTCTGAAGTTGTAACATCTTGGGTACAATATATTGATAAAATACATATTCCCTTTGGTAAGCCGCTCTAAAGCACATACGGTCTACGGGGTTGGGATGCCATTTTATTATAACCCCAATTTTGACAGGAGTACCATCCCTCAGTCCTTTAATGCTCACTTTATGTAAACCACCAAGAAAACAGTCAATTTCATCTGAACCGAATTCAATTAAATATTCAATGTTTTTTAAGTTAATAATATCGGCCACTTTGGTAATAATGCCAATAAAATCTTTATGCAAACGAGATATTTTACGAACGCGCATGGTTTATGACTTCATTCGACGGAGCAAATAAAACACTAAAAGATAACAATATCGAAAACTCAAAATTTTATGATTGATATTATCTCTTCAGCTACTCTATTGCGACACTAGTTAAACTATAGTAAATGAGATAAGAAAAAATAGATTTTTAATGGAGAATGTAGGTAGGTATAGCGTATTATTTGTTACATAATTAGATTTCCAGCAATGAAAAGTGCAAAAACAAGGCAGTGGTAGCCCAGTGGTGACGCGCTCGCTTGGGTAACCGACGAAATTTTCATGTGCGAATCATTTTCAACATGATTACCACTTGTCTTACGGTATATATAAATAAACAACACGTAAATTATCTTTGTAACTTGTTTCTACTATTACTAAATATGTTGTGTAGGAACATAACAAATTCAATGTATCAGCATCCTAAATGTGACTTATCTTATAAGATATCTTATCTAGAATTTTTTTTTTCGTTTTATTATAAAAAGGTAGTTTTGTTAACAGTAACTTTTTCTTTCAAGAAGAATTAAAAATGAAATTTATTACCGCTTATTTCAGAGAATAATTATGAAAACAATAGGTGTATTTTCTAACGCCAACTAAAGACAAAAATTATGAAAATACAGGTACTTTTTCAATGGTACAAACTTAGCGAGTAACTGCCGTGCACTCGATGTAGTTGACTTATCTTTGATATCACTTTATCAGCAACGTGACACTACAACTTGAGCCAGGCTACTGTGAGAGTTATCAGTGCAGAACATGTCCAGTTCAGACAAGTAGGAGATAAAATGTGGACAATAGCATTTATATAACGCATTGCCTCTCTTGCAACTGCACTTTATTCATTCAACAACTGGTTTGATGCACAGAATACGTTATTGTATTCAACTCTATGGTTACCAGAGCTAATCTGCTTTGTATTAAAATAGTATAATATACTCCTTAGAGTATAAATAACAACGTTCAGCCTGCAGCTTCGCCTATACGAATTCATTTCCATTTACTATATAACCTAATTCCTGTTGCTTACATAATGTATGGAAATTGAGAGCTTTACCCATTTTAACTAAGCCCATTTTTTCAAATTGCCCACTATACGCCATTTTGCCCGATAAACATTTTTTTTCTATAGTTTGCTTTATTAGTACTCAATTATTATGATATACATAAAATATATCGTATAAGTAATTGAGTTTGTTTACCTTACAAAATATTTCAACGGCAGGTAGCTCTGTTTGTTCAGCAAATTTTCATTCGTTGACGTGGGTCGCCTGCCTTTAGGTGTTTTGAATTTATAACGTCTAAACACATTTATATTGCTCAATACCTCTATTGTCCTAGCAAGTAAAGGACAAATTTCACATTTTTTTAATGTCACACTGTGTAGGTACAATGTACCTTCATGCTACCAAAAATGTAATCTTGTGAACGGAAATAAGTCTAGACATTTAGGGAAATGGTTTCGAAAAGTCAATTTTTATTTTCCAAAGTTAGAAATAACTATATCGTATAAAGTTTAGTCTCAAATATTTTGTTACAAAATTAATTAATACCTCAAATATATTCAATTATCATTATATGGATGCAGGATGATTAAGAATAAAAATACAAACTTAATATGTTCGTAAAATTAGGTTACATTTTAATATTAAATATGTTATTGAAGCAGGTTCAACATTCACAATTAGTACCAGTGTTTACAGCTCCTCCGTTTTAAATTATAATTGGAGGAATGTAATAAGAGACATCAAAAATAAGATAAAAAATTTGCAACACTAACAAAAATATAAAACATAATAAATAGCTAAAATTCATAAAAAAGAGCACAAAGTAGTACAGAAAACCGAGAAATTCAAAGGTTTGTATTTCATACAAACCGTTAAAACGCGCCTACGTTAAAACAGTTAAAACGAACATGAGCGAAGCGAGGGTGAGCCGCTAGTATTACATAAATATGAACCATAGACAAATTTAATGTTATAACCTTATTTTTGAAATATTACTTCTAAAATGTACACTCTTCTTATATTAATCGTGGAACGTCGCATACTACTCAATAGTAAAACTTTTAGAATATGCTCTGTAGCGCGTAATGAACTGTAACAACGATAGCAGATCTCAACAATTTAAATGAATAAGTATGCCATCTTCTAGTCCTATTTCATTGCTTCTTTTTTATAAATTGACCTATTTACTGTTATTGAATAAGATAACAATATAGTTTATAAAATATAAATATTGAAAGTCACTTAAGAAATTCTATAATAACAACGGTTAGAAGCTATTGTAATAAATGTATTTTTTTTTAATTTATTTATGTTTTATTTACTTTTCATCGTTTATTTATATAAATTATAAATTTTGACAGCTAATGAAATATAGATTCTTTCATAAGTAATGAGTAATGACATTGTTAAAATAAAAACCGACTTCAAACAAAAGCACTAAAAAGTAAAAAATAACTGATTGGTAGTTTTCATTTACTATACATACCTAATCAAATATTTTCGAAGTCGGTGTGCTTTGGCTAAGTAATAAAAGCCTACCTATTAAATACATACCTAATCAAATATTTTCGAAACCGGTGCCAGCCCATACAAAGCAAATGAGAATATAATGCTGAATAAAAGACATTTGGTTTTTTTTCCATTAAAAAGACAGATTTGATTAGATTTCGATAGTTCCAAATATTCTCAAAAAATACCTATACAATGTGTATTTAACATAATATTGAATAATTAAATGATGAAGCTTTTTAATTTCATAAAGCACAAATGGAAATCTATATAAGAGTTGAATCTCAAAGTATTTTAACCGTGCTCTTTGTCGCCTGTAATAGAATAGAGAAGCTTTGCCCACTACGCTGAGCAAACAAGGGCGAATGCTTCGCAATATTGTGTGCTGGGGGACTACGACGGAAGTTGTATTTACATAATGCTAATGTTGATAGACAAAATAGCAACAGAGTAGAATATTATTTTTAAAATATATTTGGATATCAGTAAAGATCAAGTGTAGTCAGATGGATTTACTGACTTATGCATAAAGCGGGTTTATATCTTTGCTATAGCTAATATTTAATTATAAAAACCTAATTCAATTTCGAGTCATTATCTGTCGTTTTCATATTTGAAAGAATGAGTTACCATGTTGTAAATTTTTACATATAAGTTAGAAAGAAGATAGAATTTTCGTTATATCTTTTCCTATAACTGTACATGGAATCCATGAAGTGGTTAATTCGTTCATGATGGAATCATATTCTACACATTGCCTCATCTATTCTCTACAGTGAAAATATAATAACCTTAACACCTCCAGGTAAATTACTAAGAAATTAATTAAATTTCATTCATCATATAATGTATAATAACTTTTTTATTTTTTCTGATTCGTGGACCCTTCGAATCTATCTTGTGCATTGGCTGTGAAAAGATACTGTAAGTTAACAGACTTTCACATAATTTTAGTGATTAAGATTAGTTAGTGGCCGTTGCTATTCATCCGATAAGTAATCGAATAAACAAAAAATCTATTCTATCCAACTATTGTCACTTTTTGTATAATTTTAGTTGTAGGAGTTCCTATTGGCAAAAAAAGAACAAATTTTAGCGTGGTTAAGGTCTAACCACGCGAAAAATTGTTTTTTTAGATCAACCTATCGAGTTGAAAGATATTTTAGGTCCAAAATTTTTATGAAAGTTTACAAAATTCGAGTTTGTAAGAAAATTCTAACCTAAAGAATTTTAATTTAATATATATTACGCAAGATTATATCCAGAATTTAATATTTTAACTAGCTACGAGTATATTCTTACAAATCTTTATAACCCTAAATAGGTTCGGATCGGTTTCTTTTATAAGGACATAAAAAGCTTTAGTTAATTGTCAGAAATCGACAATAGTTGGGCGTATGTTATATTTTTTATTTATCTGATTATCATATAAGATTCCGATTTTATTGGACGATTAGACATTTTGTAGATTAGTACATACAACGGGAGCTAAAAATAATATAAATATAGCATAAATTGTATTCACTTCTTGCGGTGAAGTAACAACCCGTAACAATTATGGGAAATTTTTCAGTTACCTATATTTAACCACAAGACCAACTAACGCTAAAGAACGCTTTTATCGCTTAATACCAATTAGTTAGTTTAATTTAGCTAAGAAGACGAAAAATACAATAAAGAAATATTACACCACGCAAGCATCAGCAACATGTTACATAAATATTATATTTCTGTTCTGTACTAACATATTTCTGCGATGCGATTAGAAAATGTTGGAACATATAATATATTAAATTCCAACTCTCGTGGATACATATTCCTTTAACTGTTCCTTTCATCCATAACGCAAAGAAAATGCTGTAAAACGGAATGCTTTTATAAAATATATAAACATTTTTAGAAAAATCGAGCAGACTGTGTAGAGATCTGGCTTTGAACATCTCATGTGCATAGCTTATTTTGCATTCATAGCTTTACGAAATATTTTAAAGGACAAGGGATTCATTTCGTACAAGTACAAGTTTTTACAAATTATTAATTAAATGGTAACGCAGTTAACACCTCGCGCTTAAATTCTAAGAAATTAATTGTTAACCGAGCCACCTGTGGCTCTGCGTGCTTTAAAAGGTTACTCTTCTTTATCTATATAAATAAAAATGAATGTTGGTAAGCGCATAACTCAAGAATGGCTGGACCAATTCGGCTAATATTTTTGTCGTATGTTCCTTAAAGTCCACGGAAGGTTTTAATAAAGAGAAAAATGAAAAATTATCGAAAAAAAAAATTATATGGCTAACGCTGGCTAATAACTATTTATATCCATTTAAAACGTACCTAGCGAAGAACCCGAGCGATGCGGGGGTGAGCCGTTAGTCAAAATATAATATTATCTTTATCACATACACAAATATAAAGAATTTGTTTATATATGACATACATATTGTGTATTATAACTGGGTATCATGTTCTAATTTAGTCGTAATA